TTTGAGCAACAAGAAGTCTTCTAGATAGTGTATGACTGTAATGCCTCTGGATATGTTATCATAACCAGCACAGAGTATCTGCGAATATCGATAGTAGGTTAATCTGTGGCTCGAAAGTTGAGCAGGGAAAGGATTGCCCAATTTATGCCATGTAAGTGCCAGTGTGTAGGGTAGATGGTAGCTGTTTACTGCGTTGATGATATTGGTCTTACTTAACCAAGCTTTAACCCATGCTTGAGTGATAGCTGTACAGGTAGATCAATGGTGTTGTATAGTAAGAAGGGAGTTGAGACTTGGGGTAGCGGAGGTGTGTGGTGCCAATAAGTCTATGGTTAGTCTTTGTTTAAGGGAAGATTCCTTGTGACAATACCAATGTGTGTGTTTGGTGCCATGCTGTAAATGGTGGAGATTGGAAGACCACTCTGCAAATCTTGGCTATGAGTGTGTTTTCAACCAATGGTTTTGTTGTGCTGACTGTAAGTGAGGGCATGCTATATTCCTTGAAGGTGTGTTTATGATACCTGTATGGGAGCCCTTTGAAGCTCCAGAGCTTTAGTAAATCTACTACAAGTCTGGAAGGGTGATGAGTCAGTAGTGTTGAAAATGCATTGGTGTGTACAGATGGTGCGTACGTTATTTGTAAGTTGTATTGGGCCACATGGTTTGTCATGTGCCCTGAACCATTTGAACATATATGCAACAGTCTATATGCAATGCAACTACTCATATCAATCGTCTCTGGTAGTTCAGAGGTGCTGGTACCTGGAGCCTGAGTGCTCATCCGTTTGTTTGGGACAGAACCCCTTCTGTATGGGTACCTGCACAAATAAACATCTCTACATATTCCAAATACCAACCCATCCAAGAGATGGTCAGTTCCCGATTTACCTGGAATCCTTGAATCTGACCATCACAGATACATCATCATACATATATATGCCTTGCTTCCCCAATGTGCTGGGATCATACGTGAAGGGTTAACATCTTGTGTGTCATAAGAATTGATTGTACCAGGTAACCGAGTATCGGTTGGTGCTGGTTGTACAGTAACGTTAGGCCCAGCCTTGTGAGGGCTGTGGTGACCAACTCGAGATTGCCAGTCTGTCATAAAATTTTTTGGCTCATGAGTTTATGAGTGAGGCTAGCATAGCCTGAGTGTCACCTGAGTTGATGTAGCTGGGCCTTCCCCTGCCTCCGTGTTGTCCGTTGATGTATGGAGGAGTTTGAATAACTCTGCTTTCCTTGCTGTAGCAGGGTAGGGGATTTGTCACCTCCTTAGGTTGGTGGTAATGTGTGGGATCGTCCAGGATCTGATTGCTGCAGGACTAGCAACATCTCCTCTGCTTGAAGGTGTATCAATTCTAGCCGGGGTGCTAGGAAGAAGTGATTCTTCACCATCTTTTGGAGAAATTCTTAAATAACAATAAAGATGCAATTATTTGTACCCAGGGTTCTTGTACTGGCTTGCTAGCTAAGCCGTAATGCGAAACGATTAGGCTTGGTGTTTTTTGGTGACTGGTGAGGCCCTGCTAGTTGCCAAGTGGCTTGAGAGGCTCTATCTATGCTTGGCGCGAGGGGATTTTGTATGTCCACCGAACATTGTGGCAGGATGTTGGCCTCTCGGTGACTGTAACCAGAAAATAGGAAGGGGAGTGACAGGTGAGGCCCTCTCTATGATACAATGCGAGGCGGCTAGCTCACGAGTGGCACGAGGGGTGTATGCCTCCGAGTGTGAGGCGGGGTGTTGGCCTCGCGGGACCACTAACCGAAGCATAATGCAGAGAAAAAAGGAGGTAATACCTATTGGGCCCTAGAACCCTAATTGCCAGTACACTATTACTATTCCAGGGAAGGTAAGAGATGGATAACTACGTGAGCAGGTGTATGTACCTGGTAGTATGGTATTGAACCTGACAATCCGTATAGGTTTTTAGTAGTAACTGTAACCTGAATGGATAAAACCGTATGGCATAAGGAAATATGGCATAGACCAAGCTTATCTTAATACGTACAGTATATGTGAAAAGTAAAGTGACGTGATGTGTAAATATTAAACACCGTAGCCATACTGGTTAAATATGTATCAATCTTAACCCATTAAGTGCCGTATGTACAAGTGAAAATGTGGTCTGTCCCCACCTTGTATGTTGTATGTCCCCTTGCTAGGGGAAAGTCTGTTGCGTGAGCAGCGTCCTGTGAAAAATGTATGTGAACTATATTACCAGTTACGTATATACAGACGCGTCTGCTACTGTGTAATAATAAATGTATTTATACCTGATGTTGATATAGTGCTTGCTATGTGAATTAGGGATCGACCGATATTGATTTTTCAGAGCCGATACCGATACCGATATTCTGTGAACTTTCAGGCCGATAGCCGATATAATTTGCCGATATTCTGTACATTTACCATTTTGGAAAATAAAAACTATTTCTAAAGGTAAATGCACAAAATATACATGCCACGTGTAGTGGATGCAGTGTGACAGGGGAGCTGTGTGTGTTTGTGTAGTGTGTGTGTAGTGGATGTAGTGTGTGTGTTGTGGATGCAGTGTGTGTTTGTGTAGTGTGTGTGGAGGATGCAATGTGTGTTTGTGTAGTGGATGCAGTGTGTATTTGTCTAGTGTGTGTAGTGGATGCAGTGTGTATTTGTCTAGTGTGTGTAGTGGATGCAGTGTGTATTAGTGTAGTGTGTATATAATGAAAGCAGAGTGTTTAAGTAGTGTGTATATAATGAAAGCAGAGTGTTTGTGTAGTGTGTGGGTAGTGTGCGTAAAGTGAATGCAGTATATACTAAATGCAAAGTGTGTGTGTTTGTGTAGTGTATATAATGAATGTAGTGTGTTTATATAATGCAGAGTGTGTGTTTGTATAGTGTGTGTATATAATGCAGTGTGTTTGTGTAGTGTGCATTATATAAACACATTACACAAACACACTGCATTATATACACACACTGCATTATATACACACACACTACACAAACACTGCATTATATAAACACACTACACAAACACACACACTGCATTATATACACACTGCACAAACACACTACATAAACACACACCGAATTATATAAACACACTACACAAACACACTGCATTATATACCCACACTACACAAACACACTGCATTATATACCCACACTACACAAACACACACTGCATTATATACACACACTATACAAACACACACTGCATTATATACACACACTGTACAAACGCACACTGCATTATATACACACACTGTACAAACACACACTGCATTATATACACAGTGTGTTTGTGTAGTGTGTGTATATAATGCAGTGTGTGTTTGTGTAGTGTGGGTATATAATGCAGTGTGTGTTTGTGTAGTGTGGGTATATAATGCAGTGTGTTTGTGTAGTGTGGATATATAATGCAGTGTGTGTGTGTTTGTATAGTGTGTGTATATAATGCAGTGTATTTGTGTGCATTGTATACAAACACACACACACTATACAAGCACACACTGTATTATATACACAGTGTGTTTGTGTAGTGTATGTGTATATAATGCAGTGTGTGAGGGGGCATTTTTTATTAAATTATTAAAAAAAAAAAATTATATTTACTTAATTATTATTTATTTTTGTTGTCCCCCCTCCCTGCTTGTTACCTGGCCAGGGAGGGGGGATATGACAGTCCCTGGTGGTCCAGTGGTATTGGCTGAGCTTTGGGGGGGCGGAGAGCAAGCGCTTACTCACCTGCCAGCAGCTCCTCCAGCTCCCCAGTGCAACTCTCGCGGCCAGCGTGTCGCGCGGAGCGTTGCCATGGTGATCCATGGCAACGCTCTGACGGCCGCGGGTCTCGCGAGAGTTGCACTGGGGAGCTGCTGGGAGGTGAGTAAGCGCTTGCTGCCCGCCCCCCCAGGACCGCCGGGCTTGTAATGAGCCTGGCGGTCCTAGGGGGTATTATCGGCAATATCGGTATCTGAATTGGCCGATACCGATATTGCCGAGAATACCGAATATCGGCCGATTATATCGGTAAAACCGATAATCGGTCGATCCCTAATGTGAATTGTTGTATGTCTTATTGAATGGTAGGGGTCAGTGAACATGGTGTTGCAAAATGCAAGTGCACTGGAGATCTGCCGAGTGCCCTATAGGTGGCAGTGTAGTTGGATACTGATTGGTATGTGAAATGTTGTTTGTCTGTTGACCTATAGGTGTAAGTGTTTTGGTGTTTGTAAAACCCCATGAAAATTGTCAATGTACTTGACAGACCTGTAGGTGGCAGTGTTGATAGAACCACTGTTGGTCTTGATGTGAAATGTAAATTATTGTGAATTAAACCTGAATTTGAGCCCGTGCTGGAGTTTCATTTATGGTTTATGGTTATGTTTAACCCCGTAAGGACCAAACTTCTGGAATAAAAGGGAATCATGACACGTCACACATGTCTTGTGTCCTTAAGGGGTTAAAACAATCTTATGTGTAATTTATATTGGCTGGTAAATTGTATATGACATGTGAAGACAGTTTTGCTGTTGACCAGTAGGGGTCATAAATGCTGATTGTATGGTAAAAATACCCTTTAATCCCTTAAGGACCAAACTTCTGGAATAAAAGGGAATCATGACATGTCACACATGTCATGTGTCCCTAAGGGGTTAATCCTACCGTATGACAGATAGGAGTCAGTATAAAAGCGAAAATGCTGTAGTTAGTTTGTTTGCTTATGAAGTGAAATAAAGTCTGAGAAGACTGTAGTATACCGATTGACCGGTAGGGGTCAGCATGTAGGCGAAAATGCCGTGGTTCGTTGGTTTGTACATGAAATGCAATAATGTCTGAGAAGCCTGTAGTACACTGAATGACCGGTAGGTGTAAGTGTGTAGGTAAAAATGCAGTGGTTTATTGTTTTGTACACGAAAAGCAATAATGTCTAAGAAGCCTGTAGTACACCGAATGACTGATAGGGGTCAGTATGTAGGTGAAAAATGCAGTGGTTTGTTGGTTTGTACATAAAATGCAATAATGTCGAGAAGCCTGTAGTACACAGAATGACTGGTAGGTGTCAGTGTGTAGGTGAAAATGCAGTGGTTTATTGTTTTGTACATGAAAAGCAATAATGTCTAAGAAGCCTGTAGTACACCGAATGACTGATAGGGGTCAGTGTGTAGGTGAAAAATTAAGTGGTTTGTTGGTTTGTACCTGAAATGCAAAAATGTCGGAGAAGCCTGTAGTACACAGAATGACCGGTAGGGGTCAGTGTGTAGGCGCAAATGCGGTAGTTCGTTGATTTGTACATGAAATGCGATAATGTCTAAGAAGCCTGTAGTCCACCGAAAGACCAGTAGGGGTCAGTGTGTAGGTGTAGATGCAGTGGTTTATTGGTTTGTACATGAAAATGCAAACAACGCCTAAGAAGCCTGTAGTACACCGAATGACCAATAGGGGTCAGTGTGTAGGTGAAAAATGCGGTGGTTCGTTAGTTTGTACATGAAATGCAATAATGTCTGAGAAGCCTGTAGTACACCGAATGACCGGTAGGGGTCAGTGTGGAGGCAAAGATGCAGTGGTTCGTTGGTTTGTACATGAAATGCGATAATGTCTAAGAAGTCTGTAGTACACCCAAAGACCAGTAGGGGGTTTAAACGAATGATATGCATGAACATGCAATGGTTTTAGAACAGACAGACAAAATGCAGCAGTAAAGTGAGGACCTGACCCTTGCATGGTGCCGTGGGACTGATGCCTGGCGTAATGGGTAGGTCAACCTACGGTTTGTGAGTCACTTGGACACCATCCACAGCGATAGATTGAAGAAAGAAGGTGGTAGGCCGGAAAAGCCTGTGGCTGGATTCCTGACACAGCTCAGCTTAGAAAACCTCATGGAGTAATCAGGTAAAATGGCGTCTGGATGACCCGGAGGTGGAAATCATTCTGATGCTGACCTCAAGCGATATGAGTCAGGTAAGGGGTGTCCCTTATATAGGGGAGTGAATTAATTTAAGCCCCTCCCACAAATACAAGCAAAACTGCCTTAATACTTATATATATATATTAATAGTAAAATACACCTAGACATTGTATGTGTGTATATGTGTATATGTGTGTGTATATATATATATATGATCTAAGTATATAATTTTTTATTTTTTTTTAACACTTATTAAACTTAATTTTATTTTATTTCCAGCCAGCAGGGGGACTAGCTGTCATTACAGGCAGTCCCCCAGCTGGCAATGCAGCAGTCAGCTAACCCGGCCATGTGATTGTGAGGTCCTCGCAAGGACCTCACTCTCACATGGCCCGGGGGGCTGCAGGAGAGAAGATGTGCTGCGGGGTGGCTCCTTGGGAGTCCCCCCAACAACCGGCGACCGGGTAAGTAAACAAAAACCGGAGGGCGTACTATTACACCCGGCGGTGTTTAGAGACGCCTAAAATAAGGCATAATAGTACGCCCTCCGGTGTTAAGGGGTTAAAATAAATAAATAATTATCTTATTTATAAATATATCAGTGAAAACACTGACTAAAATATTGAGAATGTTTTCCTTAAAGGACCATTATAATGCCAGGAAAACATACTCGTTTTACTGGCACTATAGTGTCCTGAGGGTGCTCCCACCCTCAGGGACCCCCTCCCGCCGGGCTCTGAGGAGAGGAAGGGGTTAAACTTACCTCTTTTTCCAGCGCCGGGCGGGGAGCTCTCCTCACTCTTCTCCGCCTCTTCGGCTGAATGCGCATTCGCAGCAGGAGCCGCGCGCGCATTCAGCCAGTCTATAGGAAAGCATTCACAATGCTTTCCTATGGATGCTGGCGTCTTCCTACTGTGATTTTCACAGTGAGAAGCACGCAAGCGCCTCTAGCGGCTGTCAAGAGACAGCCACTGGAGGCTGGATTAACCCTAACATAAACATAGCAGTTTCTCTGAAACTGCTATGTTTATAAAAAAAAAAAAAGGATTAACCCTAGCTGGACCAGGCACCCAGACCACTTCTTTAAGCTGAAGTGGTCTGGGTGCCTATAGTGGTCATTTAAGGGTTTATAAAGGGGCAAATTAATATGTAATTAAAGGGAAACAACAGGCCTTGAACCCATCTTTTGCAGAAATTTTAATGAAATGGGGTTTTCTCCCATAGCAATTCAAGACTGTCTAGACACCCAGCTGGCTGTCCTGATTGGTTTAATTATCAGAACCTAGCACCTCTACGTTAAGCAATGAATTCCTCTCTAAGTGATCCCATGAGAAGTACAATGGAAACCAAGCAATTAAAGGCACTCTCCACAACCATTTTAGCTTAAAGCATTATTTCTACAAGAAAAAGTGTTTTTTGGTTAGAGTAAACCTTTTCTATTCTGCCTCACATGTTCACCAACAATACTTCATTTCAGAGCCCAGGCCAAGTTTTGCCTTAAAGGGATTAAAACCCCTTCAGTTACTTACCTGAATCCAGCGCCGTTTCAATTCCAGAAGTCCCTTTAGTTACTGTCTGTCTCCTAGTGTAGACAGCCACTAGGAGTAGGTAACCCTCAGAGGTAATTATTGCAGTTTTTCTGAAACTGGAATAATTGCCACTGTAGGGTTAAGGGACATGGGAGATTGCACTTAGACCACTTCAATAAGCTGAAGTGGTCTTGGTGTCTACAGTGTTCCTTTAAGCTCTGATCCTCCACTGCAGGCATTACTTCCGTTATCTACCGGGAAAGGATGTAGAGGGAGGATGGGCTGAGGGGAGGACTTGGAGGGAGGTGTGCCGTTTTTTAATGAAACCTTTTTCATGTTGACTGGTGACTGGGGCTGTATAAACTAAGTGATTTAACTCATAAGTGGCAGAGAATTGAGTAGTGGGACTGCAGGGGCATGATCTATATACAAAACTTCTTCATTAACCCCTTCTCAACCACAGACGGAAATTTTCCGTCAACCTTGTCCTTCAGTTAAGGACTGTTGACGGAAAATTTCCGTCATTTACTAAAGTTAAAGAGGCATATA